CATCCACCATGCTTCAGTCGTGAATGAGTCAGCAGCACAGCTACAAATGGAGTGGGCAGAAGGGCATCTAAATTTAGTCGTCATTCACTGGAGAAGGTTTTCAGTGACTATTTGTCTCGCCTTCATGGCTTTAGTCATATTCCTTCTTCTGGAGACAGAAACAAAAAGAATGGAGAATGGTCACTCCAAGATATTTCATGAGCACAACTCTGTGGATTGTCTCCGAGGATGATTCTCTTTCAGCTTAACCATGGTACATACTATTTTATTCACAAAGCTCCTGAATTTAGGAACCTGCGGAATCCTGGACACTAGAGAGTCAATTTTTTGAAGTCAGACTTAATGAAAAGCTCTAAAATCTTTATAGTTCAAAGACATTTTTTTTAACCAAACTGCCTTCCTCCTATAAGATCCTGGAGGTGAGGGAGGGCAGTGATGGGTGAAGAGTTAGTACAATTTGTGCTCTTTCCTGGGGAAGCTGCTATTTGTTAAACTGGTGGCTTTGAAACAACAACAATGCCAGGGTTTTAGCTCCTTTAATCCTCACAAAATCCTATGAGGTAGGTTGTATTCTCATGCTATAGATGAGTGCACTGAGGGCGCCTGGGTGGCTCTTTGGTTAAGTGTCTGCCTTCAACTCAGGTCATGATCCCAGGATCCTGGGAGCAAACCCTGCATTGGGCTCCCCGCTCAGCGGGGAGTCTGCGTCTCCTTCTCCCTCTGCGTCTCCCCCTGGCTTATGTTCTCTCTCTTCTCTCTCAAATAAATAAATGAAATCTTAAAAAAAAAAAAAAAAGATGGGCCCTTTATTCTTTCTTCTTCTCAACTTTCTAAAAGCCTGCCTTGATCTAATGAGAGAGAGGTCAAATGTATATAGCCTTGTGTGGCACAAAATTTGCCAAAGCCATACCTGTAAGACAACTTAACGGGCTTTTCTTCATTCAAGGGGATGAATGCATGGGGAATGGAGAAGGTTGAAGGAAACATTATTTGAAGGGTAAGGGCTCGGGGCATTTAGAGGAGGCCTTAGTAGAATTCAAAATGGACATATTTTTGATATCTAAATATTATCAACCCTTAGTATGATACTTGCTCTTAACTGAAGGAAGGTGTTTTCTGGTCCCAAATTGTAAACGTTTATAGTCTTGCAGGTAATATGCCAGTTTACTGAGAAAAAATCTTAGTCAGTATGACACTCCATGGAAAATTCTTTACTTCTGCTGTTTCTCTTGGCTATCTCTCCTGAAAGGCTACAACAAATCAGTGTCCAGAGCCTGTCTGACCACTGAGTACATAATCAGATATAGTTCTCACCATCTGGGAGCCAAACTGTCTATGCCAGTGGGGTTGTGAGTCTTTTACACAGGGCTGACAGTTGCTGGAGTCACCTGTCATGTTGGAGCAGAATGCTATTACCATTTTCACTTGAGTAGTAGTTATACTATATCATGATTGGAATAGAGAGACAGGTACTTGGAAGGAGTGACTCAAGCGTTGGATCAGTCAATCTTAACTACTAATATGTTAAAGCTTTCTCATAGTGATGATCTGCTGATGGTTGAGGTTTCCAAATTTACTGACTCCTTTATCACCTTTAATTTGCTGGCATAATTTTTTTTTTTAAAGATTTT